CTTAGCAGTAGATCTGAGCAGTCTTCAGAGATGCCAGGAACATGGCAAGCATATTGCCTTTCTTTGTTGTGCCACACTGTAACACCTGCAGCTTCTTTATGTGCCTGTAATATTACATCTTTTACACAGACGGCAATAGACTTGTATGAAAAATGTGTTGTGCTACATATCTGTCAAAGATAAATGATTTCAGAGTAACCCCGAGCAGATCCAAAAATGAGTGAATATCTGTTTGGTTAATTGTCTAATTTAAAGTTATTTAGACATGCTTAAATGAAGACTACCTTATTAGAAAGTAATTGATTTTTTTTAATCTGTCCATTTAAATTCAATTCTGTGTTCTGGAAAACTTTCTTAAAAACCTGTTCCATTATAAAAGCATTTTTGAGGGGGAAAAATGAATAGATTAATTACGAGCAGAAACATGCTGATCCTGGATCTTCCAGAGAGGCTTTGCTGTATTACCACCAGGACTAGCAGATTTCTCATGAAGGGCTTCTGGTTGAGACATTCACAGTTTAGATGACCATAGCACTAATAAACATTATCAGTTATAGTGCCTTGTTTTGAAACTTCAGAGTACTTTAAAAACTGGCTGTAAGAAATAGATCCATAGAGATCACCTCATTTCTCACTGATGTACACCCACCTCTGGATGCCATTTGATGGCTCTTTGAGAGCCTACGGCAGCACTGCACAAGATTTCTGACCAGCAGTTGAGGTGTTTTATATTTGTTTGGCAATACAAGAGGGAAGGTATATGTGGCTAAGAGGAATAAAACAATGTAAACCAGACTCTTTTTCTGCAACAGAATCTCATTTTATTTCCTCTGACTTCAATAGAGCAGAATCCAAAGCTAAAGGTAAACTAACTATTTACATTCCAAATACTTTCACTGACAAAACCAGAAACCCAGTCATCATACCCACTAAGAACAAATTAAGTTTAAGAATAGTTCTATCCCTGCTTTCCCCTTTACACGTTCAGTAGAATAAACATAAGGGAACACTGTGTCTATCCAGGTTGAGAGCATTTAAATGTATCCCACTTGCTGTTTGAGCCTCATTAAGAGCACCAACAACAAAACAAAGATTTCTAGGCTTATAAAGTCAGATCCCACACTGAGAGGTTAACAGAGCTTTTCAGAACACAAAGCAAAAGTCAAAAGCGAAACTTTTATGGAAAACAGCAATAGAAATGAAGACAGAGCATTAATCTCCATTCCACATTCTTGGATTTGGTTAGTGAGTTCTAAAACCTGAGTCAAAACAAAGAAGTTCATTTTAACTTACCACACAGTAGGGTTAGGAACTCATAGTATCCTCTTCCTAGTCACGTCACAAAAATGCACATTGAGTAGAAGCTAGCTACTAAGCCTATTTTCACAGACATTAACAACAAGAAAGTCTGTCTTTCTCTGACTTGCCCAACAAAACAGAAGAGGCCCAGGTGACCAATAGACACTCTTTTCCATTTTACTTCCTGCTATTTCACGCTATGTAAGGCACATGGGAGCAACACTTTCAAGGTGTTGCTTGTGTAGACCAGGATTGAGGAGACCACCCTTTTAATTCCTTTATCTGATATTAGTTCGTTAAGGGGTCATTTTCTCTCCCTGTGTTCCCTCATGCAACAGTGATTCTAATTGATGAACTGGATTTCTACACAAGTATAAACTGCTCCCAAGATGGGAAGAGAGCTCTTTGTTTGCTGCAAGAATTTAAAAGCAATTTGTAAATCCTCTAGTAATGATCTTTCTGTTTGGAGGGGGTATAAATTCTGCAGTGCTACTGAGCTGAAGAAACCTGCTAAGTGGAGATGTTAATAATGAACAGTTGTGGGGGTAATTGGCCTCCTCAAAGGCAGAGGGCCAGGGCCAGCTTTGATTTTCAGCTTTCTGTGAGGAGTCAGATGATTTCAATAAATGGCTGAGACATCATTATTGAAACCATTGTGAAGAGCAGACTGAGCTGCTTTTGATGTGCAAAGAACATTCTGTGCTCCTGCAGGCTGATTAGGTCAGTAGTTTATGTTAACAAATAGTTTATGTTTGAATTAATGAACCACAATATAAGGCAAGAACCTGGGCAAAACACAAGACTTTTCCTTAGGTGTTACAAAGAAAACATCAGATTACGCCCTTCTTCCTAGGAAGCCAGGGGAAAAAACTCAGTGCTTTATTCACTATGCTGTGTCAAACGACACTTGCTTCCTACATACACACAGAAACTCAGTTCCTGCAGCCATACTCCCTCTTTGCCTACTCTGTATTTTCGTAAAGAAGAGACAAATCCAGTTGTTTTCTTTTAGTCTGGATAATGACTTGTGGAGGTACACAATGAAGCGACAGTTACTACAGGGTAATAACAACTAGGCTAGCTTGGCAACAGAGGTGCTCCCGAGTGAGACAGGCTTTTCTATTAACCCAGGTGGTAACGGAGTCAGATCTGATTCGTAGGCACTCCATGGCATTTAGGGCTTTGGTTGGGGTCTTGCAGTTAGAGCTATCATCCCCCATAACCAAATGGAAACAGATCTTGCCGTTTGGCAGATGCTCTGCCAGGTGCTGCGCACAACTCACAAGACAGAAGCATTGTGCAAGCAAAAGCATGAAAGGAAGGGAAGTCAAACTGCTGTGATTATTCCCCCATTCTCCTCAAGCAAGCTCAGTCCTTGCACTGCAGAGTAATCTCCGAAGATCTGAGCAAAACCGAGCTTCAGAAGCACCCTCGCCTCTGCAACACTGCGAGCCCGTCCCTCAGAAAGCTGTTCCCAGTGGTGACACAATGCAGCACACTGGAAAGTGAAGGACTGCCCTCTTGTGTCAGTCACTGCTTTTTCATTTGCCTGGTTTTATATTCCTGTTTCTGTTAGTGAGCGAGCACTCAGCCATTTGCCTGAAGCAGATATTTCTTCTTTGGAAAGGCACAGGGTTTGTTTCTGAGTAATATCCTGATGGAAACATTCAATAAATAAAATACATCTGCTGCGTTTGTGTCTTGGAGATGCTCAGAACTGGGCATATATTGCTCCTCCACCTAGAGACATCCAAATAGCTACACTAGGTTATGGCTAGTCTCATCTTGACACAGAAAAAGAATGCAGAGGACAGAATAAAACAAAAGTATAATTAAGGACAGAGAAGAGACAGAAGAGAGGCAGATTTATTAAACCAGTCTTTCCCTGCAAGCCTCATAGTAAGCTATATGCAAGTTAAATATAGAACCAACACTTCTCCAGGGAGCTGGACTCATGAACAGCTCACACATCATAAATGTGTAGCAGAGATTCTAGGCTCAGTCCAGTTGGCTGGCAGAAAGATCTTCATTTTTAAATCATTGGTGCTCATTTCCAGGGCAGTTCGTGCAATAAGGGTTGTCAGAGAATAGTCTTCTAAAAGCTTTGCAAGATTTTGCACCCACCACTTCTACCATTTATTGACAGACACCAAAATGTTTGCAGAAGGTAGCCCCTTTTTACAGCTACCAAAGCAACTTTAGCAAAAAGGAAGAGCG